CCTTCGCGCGTTATTTTGCTCTTCCTTTTGGTGCCCTTTCTTTAACGATTGTATTCCGCTATTTCTTCGATATTGGTGTTCGCTCTTGTTCTCCGGCAATTTGCCCCGCCGCAAGTTTAGAATTTAGAATAAAATAGAAGCTGGAAGGGACCTCGGAGGTCTTCTAGTCCAGCCCCCTGCTCAAGCAGGAGACCCCGGACCATTTCAGACCAGTGACTGTCCAGTCTCTTCTTAGAAACCTCCAGTTGGCCGTGTTGAGTTGGCCACGACAAGTTGGCTGGGGTGCCCAATTGTGTCCTTCCATCCATCCTGCCTCCAGCTGGCATCTCGGAACGATGGGAACAGTTACTCCAACACCACTAGAGGGCGCCAGACTCTGGGAAACTGTTTTAGCCCCTCCTCCTCCTTTGCGCGAGAAAGAATTATTCCTTTCCTAGCCAATTCTGAACCACTTTGACTTTATTTCATATTTTATCGTATTATTTTATTTTATTAATTTTTTTGTATTGGAGGTCGTCCTGAGCTTACGACCACAAGCAAACCCAACATGTATGTTGCTAAGCAAAACAGTGAGTTTTGACCCCTTAGGCGACCTTTTTTGGCCAATGTCCTTAAATGAACCGCCGCAGTTGTTAAATTAGTCAGACGGTTGTTAAGTGAATTTGGCTTCCCCGTTGACTTGGCTTAAGGTCGAAAAAAGGGATCACACGACGACCCCGGGACACTGCGACCATCATCATCATCATCATCATCATCATCTTCTTCTTCTTCATCATCATCATCATCATGATATGATAATAAAGTTGGAAGGAACCTTAGAGGTCATCTAGTCCAACCCCCTGCTCAGGCAGGAAACCCGATACCATTTCAGACAAATGGCTGTCCAGTCTCTTCTTAAACACTTCCAGTCTTGAAGCATTCACTATGTCTGGAGGCAGGTTGTTCCACTGGTTAATTGTTCTAACTGTCAGGAAGTTTCTCCTTAGTTCCAGGTTGCTTCTCTCCTTGGTTAGTTTCCATCCGATGCTTCTTGTCCTGCCTTCAGGCGCTTTGGAGAATCCATCATAAATGTGAACCAGTTGCAAAGTATATGAATTTTGATCACGTGTTCACAGGGATACGACAACGGTCGTAACTGTAGAAAATGGTCATAACTGAGTTTTTTAGTGCCGCTGTAACTTCCAACGCTCAGCTAACGAACTGTTGTAAGTTGAGGACTACCGTATCTTCTTTTATTAATTTATTGACTGTTTTATGAATTTATTTTATGATTTTATCTCGCCCTCTTTATTATTTCATTGTATCATTTTATTTTATTAATTTATTGACCATTTTATGAATTTATTTTATGATTTTATCTTGCCCTCTTTATTATTTCATTGTGTCATTTCATTTTATGAATTCATTGACCATTTTATGAATTCATTTTATGATTTTATCTTGCCCTCTTTATTATTTCATTGTATCATTTTATTAATTTATTGACTATTTTATGGATTTATTTTATGATTTTATCTCGCCCTCTTTATTATTTCATTGTGTCATTTCATTTTATTAATTTATTGACTTTTTAATTAATTTATTTTATGATTTAATCTCGCCCTCTTTATTATTTCATTGTGTCATTTCATTTTATTAATTTATTGACCATTTGATGGATCTATTTTATGATTTTATCTCGCCCTCTTTATTATTTCATTATAAGAGACTGGACAGCCATTTGTCTGAAACGGTGTAGGGTTTCCTGCCTGAGCAGGGGGTTGGACTAGATGACCTCCAAGGTCCCTTCCAACTTTATTATTATTATTATTATTGTTGTTGTTGTTGTTGTTGTTGTTTTGTTGTTGTTGTTGTTGTTGTTGTTACTACTATTATTACTATTATTACTATTAAGGCAACTTTTTATTATTATTATTATTATTATTATTATTATTATTATTATTATTATTATTATTATTATTATTATTACTATTACTATTACTACTACTACTATTATTATTATTACTATTATTACTATTATTACTATTATTATTATTAAGGCAACTTCCCTTCTCTCTTCCTTCTCACAGTGACGGCTCCCACGAGACCTTTGAGGCCTACTGCAGTAGCTCCTCCTCCCCTCTGCTTCACCAGTCGCATCACAGCCTGGCCACGGCCTGCAGCGGGAGCGACCACAGCAACTCCAGCTTGGAACAACTGCAGGACTACATGATGACGGAAAGTCGGGGTTCAGCCTGGGGGGTGGTGGCTGTGGGGTGGCTGGTGAACTCAGGTCCAGGATGAAACCCGTGGGAGGATTCGCATTCGTTACACGAGGGGGGCGACGTGTACTGGATTCTGCGTTCAAACCAAAGGGCAGGACTCGGGCTGGCGGTGGTGACCCCAGGATAAAAACCGGCAGAAGTCCCCCCAAAATTGGTCCACTGAAGGGGACGAAGCTAAGGGAACTTGACTTCCTACCAAAATGGAGCCCCAAATTTCTGGAGCTCAGCTAAATGAGTTTTGTCCCCTGGCTGCAGTCGTTAAGGGGGTCGCCGCAGTTGTTAAATTGGTAACAGGGTCGTTAAGCGAACCTGCCTTCCCCACTGACTTGGCTGGTGAGAAGGTCGAAAAAAGGGGGGGTGGATGACGTGACTCCTGGACTCTGCAAACCGTCACGCGTTCATGCCAGTTGCCAAGCCTCCCAATTTTGGTCACGTGACCACAGGGGATGCTGCAACGGTCGTAAGTGTGAAAAACGGTCCTAAGTCACTTTTTTCCAGTGCCGTTGTAAACTTCTAACCATTGCTAAACCAATGGTTGTAAGTCAAAGACTAAAAAAAGGAGAAATAGAAAAACAATGATAAATATACATGGCAATATAAATATAAATAATAATATAAATAATAATATAAATATAAATATAAATATAAATATAAATAATATAAATAATATAAATAATAATAAATAATATAAATAATAATAAATAATATAAATAATATAAATAATATAAATAATATAAATAATATAAATATAAATATAAATA